AGGGAGAGGGAGAGGGAGAGGGAGAGAGAATTCAAACAAAAAAAGAAACAAAGCTCAAAACTTAACACAGCTCACTCCCCCCTGCATGGGCTCACTGCCCATGCTAATCATACAACAAACCATTTCATAGTCTCCAGATTCATATCCTGTCCTCTTGGTCTTTCCAATGCGATCTGAGAAATCTGCCAAGAGAAGAAGACTACTGAGTGGGCTGGTCTAGGCCCAGTGCAGCCCCAGACCTAGGTGACTGTGTGGGCTGTTCCCAGAAGGCTCCACTCCACAAGGAAGCGGATCCTCAGAGCTCAGGCAGCATGCTCACGCTCTAGAAGCCCCAGCCCCGGCCCCCAGCCCCGGCTCACCAAGCCCCTTCGTCCCCACTCTCTTGTCCTTGAACTTGTCATAGGCAGCATTGGGGTTGACGATGATGTGTTCCACACTTGTGCTGCTCAGCTCCTCCTGAAGGGACAGGGGGTTCAGCCCAGGGGCAGCCCCATTTCCACCTTAGCACTTCTATCCCATAAAGCCTCTAAACTACTAAGACAATGCACCCTATTTTCCCAAGGGAAAAGAAGGGGGGTTCCATTCCAAGCTGCCCACCTAGGCTCAGTCTGGGAGAGAGAAGCTTCCTGGTAAAGCTGGAGCCTTGGTAGAATAAATATTAACACCCTGATTTAGCTAGGAACAGAGGCAGGGTAACCTCCCCCACCCACTCTGTACATAAGCCTCCCCTCCCTCAACCCCTCCCAGTTATCTGGCACACACCATGCACTCATGGCAAGAAACAAACTTGACCTCTCCTAACTTCCCCCTCCCAAAAGTAAATCTTCTTTCCTGGCTGAACAAATCCATTTAGAGCTGACTTCCCATCCTTGCTGGACGGGAAGAAGGAAGGCAAGAGCAGCATTCTCAGTGTAACATGGCAGGTTTAATCTTGAGGAAGGTAAGATACTAACTCGCAGATGTAAGAGGACTGTTGGCAGAGGGTGTGCTTAGAAGCCTGGTTTCTGGGCTATTGTGGGGCCAGACAGCTCGGAGGATACGGAGGAGCAGCAAAGGCTCAGAGGGTTGTTTTTAAAGGGACACCTTACAAATATCCCAGGGAGCACCTTAGGCAAGAGCCGTACATATAGCCCTCTGTGGCATGTGGCCTGTTACTAGACCCCTCTGCTGCACCCAAACATTCAAGTTGGGCACACGCAGACAGGGATAGACCTGAGGCTGAGGTTCCTTCTTACACAGCAACAAGCTCTTCAATAATTACATCACAACAGAATGTCCCTCTTCTACGCAGGGAAGGCCACCACGACGCAGATGGAGGGGAGGCACCTAGGAGCACTGTTGCTAGGGGCTGATATCTCCCTGAATCTAGGAAACGACGCTTGGTCGGTCGGGTTGTTGCACATTACAGCCCCTTAGAAAAGCCAACCTGCCAGCCTGCCTGCCTGCCTGCCTGCCTGCCTGCCTCCCTGCCTTCCTTGAGAAAAAAAGAACAGGCCTGGGCCCATCTCTTTGGTGCTGAGCTAACCTCTGCCTGTGTGGGTATGTGGGAAGCAGGAGGAGAACCAGGACAGGAGAGCACAATGGCTACAAGGAGGCTCCATCCTTCCCTCTGCACTGAGTCCCAGGAGGAACCTGGTGGGAGGCAGCCTCACACTGAGGACAGGGGAGAAGGGAGAACAAAGCAGTAGCTTCTCTCTCCTCTTCAGGCGGCTGCTTGGCAGAGGGACAAGAAAAGGGCCTGGTGGCCCAGTGCAGGTCCTGGAGAGAAGAGACATCTGAATCCCCCCTTTCCACGGGAAGGCCCCACTTGCCAAGTAGCTGTGTGGTTTCTGATCTCTAAACTAAGGATACCAGCTCCAGACAGGCAAGCACCGTCTACGTGGTGGCTCCTGGAAACATGGTTTCTCTCCATAAAAGTCAGCAAGGCAGAGGTCCCTTTTCAGACAAGCATGGTGGCACGTGCTTGCAATCTCAGCACCCAGGATGACTCAAATCCCAGTTAGACTAGAGAATGGTACAGCAAGCTGGGCCTAGTGGCTCACACTGTAATTCCACTATTTGGCAGGCTCATTGCAAGTCTGGAGCCAGCTCGCCTTGAGTTCCAGGCCCCAGCTAGGGTCATAAGACAAGCTCCAACTCAACAAACAAACAAACAAACAAACAAACAAACAACAACAACAAAAAGTTCACCCAGGAGGTAGAAGCAGGCTGGGTTACTTTGAGTTCCAGGTCAAGGTAGTCTATATAGTGGGATCCATTTTTTAAAAAGAAAAGCAAAAGAGGGACAAAGGCTGACTGTCACTTGGTGCTGCAGTACTGACCTCGCAGGCTTGTGCCCGAACTGGACCTCTGGTACCACAAACACACAAAAGAAAAAAGAAAAGGAAAGGAAAAGGCATGGGGCACAGCCTAAAGAGAAAGGAAAATCAAATCACAGCCACACACATAAGCCCTTACGGCGCTCTGTGAGGGACAGCCTATTCCTGATTGCTGTTCTTACGTAGGGAAAGCTGGGAACACAACGGCCAGCACTGAGGAGAGGCTGGCTGGCTCAGTGGTTCTCAGCAGTTGCTGTAGAAGTAAGGCTTGGCCCAGAGGGCAGCCCAGTGCTGATGGCTTCTCAGCACCTCTGAGAGTGGCCTAGGAGGGTCAGGAGAGGAGCACATGCTGGTCTCCAGATGGTGCCCAGTCCACCAGCCTCGCAAAGACCTGCCATGCCACTGCAGGGTCCTGTGAGATGGGGGAGGGGCTGAGTGTGGGACTGACTAGGACGGCAAAGGTTTAGTACAGACGAAAGGATAGAGAACAACTGTCCACCACAGCACACCCCGTTAAAAAGCAGACAGAAGGATGGGCTTCTTACCAGCTCCTTGTGGTTTCCCCAGAGGTGAGAAAATCAAGAGTTAAAAAGGAAAGGGTGTGGGGAAGAGGGATGAGGGAGGGAAAAAAAAAAGACAAAATTGTTATTAGCAAATTGTCACATGCACTACATGAGTCTTCAAACACTGCACCACAGGGCCCCAGGGAAGTCTAGCAAAATGTGGGGGCCAAGAATTCTAGCTGAGGTCAGAATCTGCCCCAAGAGAAGGAAGACCTCGAGACCCTTTCCTCTCTAGTGCCGTGGAGCTTTGCATTTAGCAGCAGCCGTGGGGGAGTGCTGGACATGAGGAGTTAGCTGTTACAAGCTGGTGCAGAACAGGAAGTGCAGGAAGAGAAGGCTCAGGTGAGGGGAAGCTACAGAAATGGCAGGATGTGAGGCAGAGAAGGTGGAGACTCTGGGTCCTGACACTGACCGAGGGAGGGCCCACAGTTTTCAAGGCAGGGTCTCCCTTAGTAGTCACATAGCTAGCGTCTGGACTCTCCAGTTGAGTGGTTGGTAAATCTCTGCTGCAGCTCTGGATGATGAAGGAAGCCTCTGCTACTACCCAACAGCACAGGAGCCCAGGACCCCGAGATCTGCGGCACTAGCCTATGGGCAGAACATGCTTCCCAAGGCTCGCAGAGCAGAACATGGGTGTACTTCAAACAAGTCTTACTTCAGAGCAGGCCACGGAGACACGGCTCTTATTTCCAAGCAAGACTGGTGGGCTCGCTACTCTAGGAGGGAACTCCAACTGTGTGCCCTGCCTCTCTAGCTGTTGACGGATGGGTGGAAAGGGGCCTGATTGACACTGTATGTGAGAAAACCCATGTGAGGGACAAACGTGCATGTCCTTCCTAACAGTTCATCCAACCCAGTTGCAGCTCCATCTATTTTAGCCTCTTTTACCCTCGTTCAATGACTCCAGGGTCCGACGATGTCCCTGTACACAGTGGGCATAAGCACCCACAGGGACACACATGAAAACCACAAGAGAAACAGAGGTACTGTACTTGTTTCTGTCTCGCTCTCACCGAGCTTAAAGCAGCTTGGGAAAAACTCAAGAAGAGGGAGACCATGGACCGTTGAGTGAAGTTCAAACCAAGAGAGAAGGGACAAAAACCAAAGCAATCCAGCAAAAACCAGAACAGTGCTGAGCAGTGGTGTGCACTGTATATAGCAAGTCTATCTTTGAGGAGGCTGAGGGATGATGCGGTGCGGGACATAACTCCTAATGGAGTAGACACAGTTATCATAGGGATTTGATATACAACAGGAAATCAGAAAAGTCTAAGTGCTCTTATCTGCATCCAGCTTACCTGGACCATGGCTCCCACTCCCTCTCTTTAATGGTTGTTTGGCTAATTGGCCGTGTCTCAGAGAACCAGACCTGAGGTTCTAAATCAGAGAGGGACGGCGGCCACTCTGCTGAGGCTGTTCAGGCTCTACGCAATACTTCAGCCAGGGGGACTTCAGAACCATGGTGACAGGAACATGGAGAGAGCTGTAGAATAAAACTGTCTAGGACGGGCCAGCATCACGCTGACAACCCATCGTTTCTCAAAAAGGAACACACAGAAAGACTCAGGAAGCACAGATAACCCAAGCTACTATCCTAAAACCGCATAGAGCGCCTTCTCCTGTCAGGCTTCTCGCCAAGGCTTAGCATCGGAGAATATCAAAATGAGTCTTTCTCATCAATAATCAACAAACAGGGAGGAAGTGGGAGCAGGGGTCTGGCTTTCCCCTTTGCTTCCACCCTTGTCTACAATGGCTGAAGGCCAGCTCATAAAAATTTCTTCTGGCAAATTCTTCCAAGCCTACACCCTTACGTTTAAAGGTTTCCACATTTTGACTCACTCTTTCGTTTCAGTTTTATTCTGCAGACCTCACAAGGTGAAGAGACAATGATTCACAATGATTCGTGCATCACAGTTGTGTTTCTAAACTTTGATTAAACGATCTTTAAACATAAGGCCAGCAAGGCCCAAAAAGGGACTTGCTGGAATTTGAAACAATTAGCTACAACAATTGCAAAGTGGCAGAGCATTGCATGCAAGATGGCAAATGAACAAACATGCAGAGAAGAAGCATTGAATGGCCTTACTTGTGCAAACTAGTGTCCAGGCAGGGTGGTGAGGAGGGAGGATGGGGGAAGCATTAGGAAAAACTCCGGTAAGTAAGGTGCAGCAACAGTCAATGAACACAGTCAACTCACTTTGTGATACCTGGTATTCTAAACTGTGAGGGAAGAAATCTCAGACACTTGTCTAATATTGGGCAGGGGCAGGCATGCCTCAGTAGGGGGTGTGGGGGGGCACCAAGTAGATTCAGAAACCTCTTTTCTCTGTGGCCTCGGGAATAGCTACATCACACAGGGAGGGAGAGGCTGAGTCTAGTTCCTCTGAGGCATCCTTAATTTTCTGTGCTTAAGCCATGAGCAGAGTGCTTTCAGGACCCAGGCCAGGCTGTGGGCCTGGGAGGGCACTTGCTTCGGGAGGTAGTTTTCCAAAGAGGCCACTCTGAGAAGCCATTGTCTCAGCCAACAAGGGTGTGGCTGAGATGCAGATCTTCCCATACTGTGAAGGGAAGAGCTGCTAGTCCCTGCTGTTTTACAGCCCATTCCTGTAGTAAAATACTTTACTTCCTGGTAAAATTGTTTTAAAGAAATAGAAGAAAAATTGGGGTCATTTGGAAAAAACAAACCAAATCTACTTCTTTCCTGTCCCACCTTTCTCATTATGGGCATCATAGTACTTTAATGTCTAAGTTAAACTAGCAATTAAGGTCTTTTTTATTCTCTTGGCAGTTGAGAAATCAGAGGAAGGTTAAAGACACTGTAAGGCCATTGGGCCATTCGACTTGATATTCCTTTAGATTAACACCTGGTGTGGTGGCAAATGTCTTTAATCCTAGCACTTGGCCAGCCTGTGCTACATAAAACTACATAGGGAGTTCTAGGCCAGACAGGGCAATACAACAAAAGCCTGTTTCAAAAATAAAATAAAAAATAAATTAACATTTGCAGACCCCTAAAATTTTTTACAATTTGGCCATATTGGTTGTCCCCAGGGAGGAGAACCGAGGGGCAGGCAGAGGTGGGGGACTTTTTCTCTACACAGCCTTAAACAGTTTATTTTTATGACTTAATTTGAAAACAAAGTTAAAAACAATCTGGAGGTCCCAGCATAGACTGAAGACCTCATGGTTCAGTGGCAGATGAAAGTGGACAGGTTCCCAGCCGGCATCCAGGCCTCAGAGCCGCAGTGTTTCTGGGTTAGCGATGGCCCTCAAGCTGCACATTTACGTCAGCATTATGGGCAGCAGTAGAGCCGCTATGCAGCTGACTTCCCGAACGCGGCCTTCCTAAGGCCCACAGGGACATGTAGGGGCCAGAGACATTAGCTGACATCAGGAAGTAACTCAGCTCTCAGGGCTCCGGAAGCGCTGAAGGTCTCCACATACACTCCTCTCTCACAGGCTGATGAGAGGGGGTGCAATCACCTGCGTCTACAGGGATGCAGCGATACTATCCGTCTGCATCACAGTGACTAGAGGACAGCCTTATTCTCTCTCTGCAAGCTTGCTATTTTATACGCAGAGGTTCTGAGCCAGCTCTGAGTTTTATACTCTCCCGCTCTGAGGACAGAGTTAACTGAGACACCTCTTGGAGTGACAACGTCACACTCAGGTACTTGGGCAATGATGCCATCTGCATTATCTCCAGATACTTAAGCTTGGGGAAGAGGGATCGGCAGACTGGCATGCCAGCAAATACAGAAGCCACAAGGAGCACACTGTTGAGAGGAGGGACAGGAAGTTATCCTCACAGCGTAGGAAGCGCTTCCACATGGGAGGAGATAAGGAATAAGTGAGCACGCCAAGCCAAGCCAGTGTAAGGCAGCAGCCAACATTCCCCAGAACTAACCAGCCCCACAGACATGGCCACAGGACTGACAGACACACAGACTGGGCCTGCTGACAATGTCCCCATGACTCTGGCCACGCCTCCACTGAGATCTCATAGCATCGATTGCTTTGGAAATAATTGAACACAGTCTATACAGGCCATTGCTGGGCCTCTGTACCCACAGCACTGCACTCATCTCTGTTCACTCACTTTGGGGTTTTTCTTATGTCACCTACATGTACCCTAACTCCTGTGTTTCCTGTATACATCCTAACTGTCACATAAAGGGGTCCTTAGGGCATCTCTTCCTCTGCACTGGGCAAAAATCAAAGCAGAATGAACATATTCTTTTAAGTAATAATAAATTCCTGGTTAAAGTTTGTTGCCCCACCCCCACCTCCCTCGGACTCCTTAGAGCACACAGAACAGACTTAATATATTACCATCATCTCTTGATTACAATATTTATGTTATTCCTCAAAATTATCTTGGACTGACCAGGCATGTTATTTTTCTGATGTTTCCAAGTTATTTGCTTACACCTTCCCTAATGTCTACTACAGTTCAAATTCAAGTTCTTCCTAAATACTAATGAGACTTTAATGAGTAAAATATCTTATAAAATAAAAAAGGTCTACTCCAACCTTAAACAATTTATTATGTTCAAGCTTTATAATTCAACACATGGATTAGAACCCAGGGGCCTAACTAATCACTAGTCAGAATGTAACTGCTTTGAGATATCTCAACTATATTTAATAAGACTTGGGTTTTATATGTCTTGTTAGTTGTAACCTCACTGGCTGGACTCTCCTTTCTGGCAATGTTCATTGGTGGCTGCCAGAACAAGGCCTTTGAAAGCCCTGAAACCTACATACCACCCAGGCTGGGGTTGGCATACCCACTTATTGTTGTGGCTTGCCAGAGAAGGAAAGGGACCTGTATCTGGGGAGAAAGGTCAGAGTCCAGGGGGATCCTGAGGTAGCACATAGTCTTACCGCATCAAACTCTGCTTGATCATCCTCAGGTAGGTCGCTGGTTTCATAAACATCTGGCTCGTTCCTGGCCTGCAGGGAGAAGCGGTGACCACCCAGACTCATTACCCAGCAGTCATTTCTTTTGAACAAGGTACTGGAAAACCAGACTTTAATTCAAGGATCTGACCTCCACCTCCCCCGTTAACTGTATATCGGTTCCCTTCTCTCAGTGGGATGACCATAGGTACAAACTAGGACCCGAGATAAAATGTCCAGTGTGAAAGATGTTACCCTGAACATGGCTGAGAGGCCAGTCCTTCCTTGGGAATTATTTTGTCCTAATCTGGTGAGGGTTCCTTGAGTTAGGCCCTGCACATCGCTGTACAAGGATTGAGAGTGACTCAGGACCTTAGTTTTCAAGGTCCTGTGTGCCAACCCCCCAACCCTGAGGATGCAGAGAGGGCAGCACAAACGGAGGGTACATGCCGGCTTGTGCATGAGGAGCAAACACACAGGTGCTCTCAATGCAGAGCTGCCCACTGGCACAAGGTTTCTGCAACAGTAACCTCTTCCCTGTCAAGATGAAGGCCATCAAGTGGCCTGGTGAGTATGGCTGGAGTAAGGATGCGGGGGCGGGCAATCGGGAAATTTGGGGCGACAAGGGCACTGTTGACATGGACGGTACAAACACTCGGGCACAAGTGGTAAGCGCCCGGAGGCGATTTCTGGGCGGAAAAACCGGCTACTGCCAGAAAGGGGGCCCGACGCGGTCCAACGGCCCCGGCCCAGTCGGGTCTGGAGTCCAGAAGGTGCTGCGGCCATCGAAGGGCGAGCGGCGGGAACCTTTGGGGCGAAGGGGCTGCCCGCGGGAGGGGGTCGCGGGCTGATTTCTGTTGGGGGTCCTCGGGAGGTCGGGGGCGCGGTCTGGGGAGCCGGGCCCGGCCCTGTACTCACAATGCCGGGGAGATCGGCGTATTTAGGGTCCGCCATGGCGGCGGCGAGGCGGGGCTGGGGGACCGAGGCCTCGGAGGAGCCGGGGCCGGTGACCGGGTGGGGGAGAGGCTGGGTCCGGGTCCCCGGCTAAGGCGACGATAAGGGGAGCGGCGGAGGAGCAGGAAGTCTCGCGACAGGAGCAGGCTGGCAGGAGGGAGACGGCAAAAGTCGCGAGGACAGCCGGCAACCACACCCCTGGACAGGCTGGGATTGGTGAGAGCGACGGGGAATGAGGTAATGGCGAGGAGACGTCGCCTAGCATTGTGGGATATGTAGTCCTGATCTTCTGGGGCTTGGGCTGGGAGCGACAATAACAACGTTAGCGAGCTATTGCATACAGTTTGTCTCCTTTCTTTTTTTAACAATCTATGAAAGGAGTTTCATAATCCCTGCCTTAGGAAACCTAGAGATTGGCTAGATGAAACCACACAGCTCGCCACGTTGTGAACAACAGCAAGATTTAGTAAAAATGTAAAAAAAAAAAAATAGAAAAGTGAGGCTGTCTTTTCAGGTTAGGGCTTCTGGATAAAATAGAGGGTCCCTAGTTAAATTTTAATTTCAGGAGCTGGAGAGATGACTCAGGGGTTAAGAGCACAGTCCTCTTGCAGAGGACTTGGGTTCTATCACCAGTATCCAGATAGTGGCCCTCAACCATTTATAACTCGAGTATCAGGTGCCCTCTTCTGGTCTCTGAGGCACCAGACACACACGTGGTACACAGACATACATGCAGACAAAACACCCATACACATTAAATAAATAAATAAATTTTTAAAAATTAATTTCAGGTAAACAACAAACAATTGTTAGTATAAGCATGCTTCTTCTTCTTCTTCTTCTTCTTCTTCTTCTTCTTCTTCTTCTTCTTCTTTTTGTTTTTTTCGAGACAGGGTTTCTCTGTGTAGTCCTGGCTGTACTGGAACTCACTCTGTAGACCAGGCTGGCCTCGAACTCAGAAATCCGCCTGCCTCTGCCTTTCAAGTGGTGGGATTAAAGGCGTGCGCCACCACCACCTGGCAAAGCATGCTTCTTATTATATTTCTGATATGCATATAATAACAGGACCTTGCATATAGTAGCTTTGTGTCAAAGTCAACAATAAATCTTTCTGGAGAAAGATAGTTAATCTTCTTACTTTACCATGTCGGTGCATAAGAATAGATACCCCAATTTAATTTAATTTAATAATTTGTTTCTTTGTGTGTGTTGTGTGTGCGCACACACGAGTGTGGAGATCAGCAGACAACCCACCATCATCTTCCCACCATGGGGGTCCTGCAGATCAGACTCAGGTGTGTGGCAAGCCCCTTCGCCTGCTGAGCCATCTCACTGACCCATTTTTAAAACAGAAGAAAAGGCTGAGTGAGGCCTGATCTAGTGAGTCCCAGAATCTCTGTGTAGCTCCAGCTGTCTCAAAACAAGGACAGAAGAGGAGAAAGAGGAGGGGGATTTGAGGGTGGGATGGGAGGTGGGAAACAAATAGAAAACCTACTATGTGCTAGTAGAGACATGAAAAGACACACTCAGGATAAAAGGAAGTTCTCAAGCCAGACATGATGGTGCCCACATCATATATTCCCAGGACTTTCGAGGCTGAGGTAGGAAGACTGCAAGAACAGGAGAGCCTATGTATAAGAGCCCCTCCCTCTACGGACAGTCATTTTGAAGCCACTAAGGATACCTATCTTCTTGCCTCTAGAGGCTGGACTTTGGCATATTTCCTGAGTTTGCAAGATGCTGCAACCTTCAGAAATAGTGCCAAACAATCAAGGGTAGCGTTCCTGAGTTAGGAACTCGCCATTCTCATTCCTGGCTTCTGCCCAAGCCTCTGTAGCCATTATCCCCAGGTCATGTATTGGGCTCCTTTCTGTCGGTTCCCTTGACAGTCAAGGGGTGTGACTGTTGAAGACTCAGCTCAGCTGTTATCTGGCTGGTTAGGGCTTGTTTGTCTAGCCCATTACCCTCTCACTCTTGCCTCATAGTCGCTAACTGACCCTAGACACTGGTCAGTTTCTGAGCCATGGCCTCCACCCCCTTCTATCTTCTCCCATCACCCCATCTTCCCCTTGGCTAAAACCTCAAGCCCTGCAGCCTAGCTCTCTGTTGACAAGCAGAGGCTGTGACATTGAGCAAAATCAATTTGACCAGCTCTGGGTGTTCCTGCTCTGGGCTGCGGAGGGAGACTGGACAAGAACTCTATGGGCTTGGCTCTTTGTCCTCATCTCTTTTCTTTCTTTCTTTCTTTCCTTTTTTTTTCTTCTGATGTGGAAATTTGGAGAATAAAAGAATGAGGACTCTGTCCAAAGGTAACTAGGGTAGTAAACACACAGAGACACTGAATGATCTGAGACCCAAAGGTAGCTGTTTGCCCTGGAAGCTCCTCACAACCTGACCTCTGGCCCCTTGTTCCTTTCCTCAGGCTGTTACACTCTTGGTCTCCTGCAATAGCTGTTCCTGTCTACCCATATCCCACCCCAACCTCGGAGGCTTTCTTGAGAACTCATCTGTCCCTGAATGCTGATGGCTAGAAGATAGCTTGTCTTTCCCTCTATTTGGGGGACCTGATTATCACCAGAAGGTAGTGCTTTCTGTGAAGAAAAGGAGGGGAGTAGGCTAGACCTGACTATCTCTTCTCCATGGCATGGGACCTAGATATCACTTCTGTAGATGCACACCCATGAAAGCTGACTAGCTCATTGTACATCTGAGGAGCGGAAAGAGGCCGGGAGAAGGAGGATTTAAATATGAAAAGAGGGGTGTAATTTTTTTGGGGGGGTGTTCTGGAATAAAGAGAATGGAAGGCCCGTGGGTGCTCTTTCCAGGCAGGCGACAGGCCCACCTTAGTCCCCTTATCCATCCCTGTAGGTGGAGTCTGAGGAGGAAAGACAGGTCGTGTGTAGCGAAGTGAGCTGTGTGGGGAAGGGGTGAGGACAAGGTTATTCGCGAGCCTCCAGATCGAGGAACCAGGTGAGGGGAAGCTAAACTCCACCCTTGGGTGGTCGCTGTCCGGAGGATCACCCCCTGCGAAGGAAACCCCGCCCCCGCGGCTCCTGCGCGCCCCGCCCAGGCCCGCAGCGCGGCTGCAGCGCGAGGGGCGGAGAGGCACAGCGCGGCGAGAGGACCAGACGCCCAGGTCGCCCGCATCCAGTGCCGCAGGACACCGAGAGCGCATCTTCGCCAGGGCGTCCCAGCTACTCCCTTGGCCCCAGCGACAGAGCACCTGTCCTCCGCCTCGACCCCAGCCCAGCGCTCCCTTCCTCCGGAGCACACGCTACCCTTGCAGCCGGAGACTCGCCCTAGCCCCTCGTCGTCGACCACCATGGCGGAGACCAACAACGAATGCAGCATCAAGGTGCTTTGCCGATTTCGGCCCCTGAACCAGGCCGAGATTCTGCGGGGGGACAAGTTCATCCCCATTTTCCAAGGGGACGACAGCGTCATTATTGGGGTGAGTGCTACAACCGAAGGAAATTAGAGGAGAGGGAGGGGTGCAAAAATCTTTTCACCTCCAAGACCCCTCTGCCTGTCATCCTGCGGCGGCTCCGGGATGCTCAGCCTCCATCGCCGCAGCCCCTCCTCTCCCCTGCATCAGGATGGCTGGGTGTGGCCTGCCTAGGCCTGCAGCCAAGTCTCTGCAGAGTGGGAGGGGGCTCCTTCCCTGTCATCAGGAGCCCCAACTTGTCTTTGATACTCTTTTGCAATGTTCCCACCCCTTAGAGCCAGTTCCCTGCCTTTGTGATGTTTTCCCTCCCCCCTAGAGAAAGCGCGTTTCCCCTTTGTTATTGGCTCTCATCTCTACCCTAACCTCTGTGAAGGGAGGGGAAGGTTAGTGGATGGGCTAGATCGGAAATGAGAAGTCTAGGGTCTCTGTGGAGGAATGAGTAGGAGTGGGTTCTAGGGCCAGTCTTTCATCATCACCTCAAGTAGTTACTGCCTGGAGTTGGGGGGAGGGAGCACAAATCTGGTGAAGGGTTTTCTGGGAAATCAATACATGGATGCCACACCCAATTGGAGAGTTAGCCTCTAGAATACTAAGGGCCTGTGTACCTTTCTATCCCGAGTATACCATCAAGAGAATTTCAGATCCTAAGCCCTCCCAAGTCAAAGTGCCCAAATCCTGAGTTTGTTTATTCATCTCAGACTTGAAGATTCAATACAATGTAGTAGTTGAGTGATACCTCGTCATGGCAGCCCTCCCCCAGGAGATCTTCAGGCAAATCAATACTTTCTGTGTACTTGGTGTTCTGTGCTTAGGACTGAGTTCTCAAGATTGCAGTAAGTAGTGTTCATGGTTCCATTTTTCAGACGAGAAGATTGAGGTCCAAGAAAGTCGAATGACTTTCTCAAGGTCATGCTGAGAATCCGTAGATCCCGCTAGTCTACAGAAGTGAACTCGAGTCTGTGACTCCAAAACCCACATGTTTTTCCTTCATGTCACCCCACCTCCCCAGATTTCTGTTCCAGACAGTTAACCTAAAGGGCCGCTCAGTCTCGCCCTTCCACCTTTCTTATGAGTGTTAAGGGCCTTCAGGGTAAGAAGATTTGGGGTTTGGGTCTGTAGGACTTTGGGGATACTAAGCCAAGAAATCACTGTTGGCATCAGAAGGGAGGAGCAGCTATGAGGGCAGACCTCAAGGTCAGGGTGATTCTTGAGTGCCTTGGTCCACAGTGCTCAGCCTAAAGCAACTAGAAAGGAGACACCTGGACCTTCTGAGTTAGGCAAAGTAAACCTGTCTAGGAGAAGCTCCAAGCTCCTACCCGAAGCCTGTCAGAATCTCACAGAGTGGACTCTGTGGGTGCTTTCATCATGTGTGTCCATTTGCCACAGCAGGGACCCTAGGCTTTGCTGTTTGGTCAGTGTGGCCAGGTTAAAATAAAGTCCCCAACAACCCCAGGGACCCCTCCTCTCTCTGAGTAACCCGGCTGGCTGGCTTTAAGTGGAGAATTTGTAACTTGAGGCCCCCTTAAGTTATGAAGGCTGAAAACCAGGAGGAGGTAGCCAAATCCGCTAGGGTCTACTTTAAAGCTAACTTCCTTGTTCCAGATTTATCCACTAGATGAAGAAGGACTCCTTTAGGCTCTGTGGGCCATCCTGGTGTGGGATAGGTCCTGTCTGGGGAGACACCAAGCAAAGGGGTGGCGGAGGGTGAAGTCCATGACTCCCTGGAAACTCAGTTTCTGTCTCTGCTCCATAGCTGGTCTCCTTTTCTCTGTCCTGCATGTCCTTGCAG